GACGCATTCGAATGCCCTCCATTCCACATTGTGACTTGTTTGCCGAATATGTTATAATAGAGGTCACCTGTACAACATAGTTAAGGTTGAAATTATGCAAAAATATTATGGCAAAGTATTTAAAAAGTCACTACCTGGGAGGTGCCCATCTCATAACAAGTAAAGTTTTTAATACAAATTGCACCACGTGATCAAAACATAAATTGAAAAAAACAGCAAATGAAGCAATAGTTCCGAAGTACAACATAACTCAATAAAAATGAATACAACATAATCCTTAAAAAACCTCATAATTAAGAACAACGACAATCACTAACTAAGCCTCATAATTAACAAGCTTCATAAATAGCTACTCCTCATTGCTTTCTCCACCAAAATGACCGGCGTTTGGGGGATAACTAGGCATGTAATATGGTGGTTGATATGGAAAGTTAGGGGGATGGGGAGTAACATTTGGGGTCATGTTTTGGGTTGGTGGGTGTTGGGGTTGCACGTGGTGAGGGGGTTGAGAAAAACTGGGTACTTGTGGTTGGCCAAAGTTAGGAGGTTGTTGGCCATAGATAGGGGGTTGTTGGTAAAAGTTGGGTGTGGCCATGAAGTTTTGATATGGGGGCTGCATGAAGTTGGAGGCCATGGATGGAGGGGGCATGGAGCACGGCTGGGTAGTTTGATTTGTTTTAGAGGTAATGGTCTTCCTCACGAAACATACCCTTTGCGTCTCTGTCATATCCATAAAAAGTTGTTGCATGTGCGGATACCACGCAATGGCCTCTAAAAAAGTTACACTGGTATCATCATCAAGATCCATTCCCTTCACAAGGTCTTGGCACTTTTGTAGAAGAGAACGGGTCGTAGGGCTCTGAGTAGCGCTGGAACTGGTAGCTTTGCTACTACGCCTAGTTTCTATAGATGCCACAAGTCGTCCAAGTAGTGCCTTAGCCTCTGGATCACCAACCGGCCGTTTGCAACTGCGTGCAGATTTCTTTCCAATCCCCTTGGAGCTGGACGCAACATTCAACCCCTTCCTGGCGGTGTTCAACCCGGCTCGCATCGTAGTGACAAAATCGTCGTCGCTGCCTAACGAGTGCGATGTCACCCCCACTTCACCATCTACATCCGGGATGGGGATGGTGTCTACATGCTCAGTCGTAGGGTTTTCTAAACCCCTCGCATTACCAAAGGCCTCGCAGTATAGGTCAAAGTTTTTTAGGGGTTGCTTCTTTGCAGCGTTGGCCCACTTCTTGTTCTGTGTGACAAAGCATAACGACATAAGTAAGGTTATGTTTAA